ACAAGAAATCTCTTGCTCAATAGATTGGAAAGTCTTCTTGTAAGACCCTTGGTTTATTTTACAGGGCGACTTTTGTAAGGATCTTGTTACTTAAGCCATTTTTTGTAAGGATCGACCCTGAGGTGTACGTGGCGTTTGTACGTATAGACGAATGTCGAAAATAGTAGTTAATGCACGAACAAACCAAAAAAAAGTTTTCCTTTTATACCGACTGTAGTCTAAAAAAATCTTGTAGGAAAATTTTATTTACGTTGTTAAACAAAAAATTTCGCGGAGATCTTTATTTTTAGACTTTCAACTGGTACTGGCACATTATAAACGGTTATCTGTCGCTTGCAAAATATTTTTTTCTTATTGGTAGGACTTTGTAAAAAGTCTTACAACGAACTTTTACAGAGAAGTAAACAATACTACATTCGTAACTCCCTTATAAAATAGTTTCTTGTAGAAATTACACAATGTGCTTAACATTTTTTGGTGATAACTTTCTTAAGATGTATAAGCGCATTGAGACAATGAATAGGATGCATACAAATAAATGTATGCATGCCAATATTCACTCACATGCACTTATAATCACACCAAGGTATGTAGGCCCACAGTATTCATAATATCATATGTGTAAAATATCCGAAAATAATCACACTAGGTTCTAACTGTTGGATAAGCTATCTGGCCGTGTGTGCTTTGTGAGGGCTGCATATAAACAGTGTCCACTGTTTATGCATATTGGATAAAAATCGTTATTGCACCCTTTAGATTTGAGACCGACAGACATATAGAGGGACGGACCGACTGTCACTGCCCGTCCCTGAAAGCCCAGTTAGTGTTTGTATGTGTTTGTTTCTACTGTGTGTCTCTCTCTCTGCCTGCTGGTCCGCTCGACACGACTGGGAGCAATCTCCAATAAACCACACCTGCAACCTGCTCATCAGCCACACTATGAAAGCCTGCAGCCTGCACTCATTCCCTGCCGGATTGTTGCCGTGAACGGTTTGTTGCGTGCCGCTCTAGCTTTTTACCAGCATATTCTTTGACAACTTTGCCTGCTTTTGCCTCACACTCATTTGTATGTCTCTCCCAGGACGAATCCAAGGCCTTCCACACTCCCAAGACCAGCCAGGCCTCTCCACCCTGGAACAACTGTTTCCCACTGCTGCCATAACCAACCTCCACTCCCAGCTCCCCTTTTCTAATAAACAAATGTTACTTTCACCAGCTGATTCCGAATCATCCTTTTACATGTGTTAATAGTCAAATTCCAATAGTTAAGTAAACTATCAAAATCATCCTAATGACCACAGTGGTCAGTCCACTTACCCAGGAATTTTGAGTTGAACAATTACATGAATATTATGTCTTTATGTTCTAATAATGTAAAATATTTTAGTAAATTATTACCACAGAACATTTTTATAATGTTTTAAACATAAAGCATGTTATCCTTCTCTAAAATAATAACATTCTGGCAACATAAACAAATCTAACTTGCAGCTGAAAACATTTTAAGAACAGTAGGGCATAATGTTCTAACAATGTTANAATTGTTATGTTCATTTGAATATTTCCTTTAATATAGGTATATTCATTTACCCTATGTTTAACCAACATGACTTTTTTATGTTCATTTTAGGCTTTTAATATGCATTAAAAGCCTAAAATGAACATAAAAAAGTCATGTTGGTTAAACATAGGGTAAATGAATATACCTATATTAAAGGAAATATTCAAATGAACATAACAATTTCATGTTTCTTTGACATAACATAGTTGTGTGTCTTTAACATAATGGAATAGTTTTGAGTACACATGTTTTTAATGTGTGCAACCGGTTTCCATATTAAAATCATGTTAATCCAACGGCCTTTTTTTTTCAGTGTGGTCCATGTTCCCATAGTGCAATTAATGTGGAGCCAGAAGGACGGCCTACTCCTTTCTGCAGTAAAACAAAACCAGGATTGATGAGAGTGTCTGTAATGCATAAGTGACTGCCTGTGTATGGGCTCGCTAGGAGCAATGTGTCCAGATAGAGGATAGGAGGAAAGATAGTTGTGCTGGGGAAGAAGGAATGTGGCATTATGGCGAGAGAAAGACACAAACAGAGGCAGCGATTGAGATAAAGATATGAGAGAATAGTTGGACTCCAAGAAGAAGAGAAGGTATGTGTGAGTTTGTGCAAAACACGGGGAGCAGTAGACAATTGCAAAGGGAGATAAATTGGGGCCGAGCTGCTCTTTTGATGGCCATTTTTTCAGAGTCTCCTTGGTAGCGATTGTATGGGATTCATTCATTAAATCGCATGCAATGAAAAACAAAGAGAGAAATATCACCAGTCAGCAGCCAGGGCACAGCGCTGCCTTTTTTCCTCTCAGGCAATATTTCACCCGGTTTGACCTTCTCAAGTCAACACAGCAAGTGTTAATCATGGAGAAATACAATCAAAATGAATTTCCTCTTTTGTCGGGCTGCTCGCTGCAGCGCCATTAAACCTTCACTGGGTAGCGGACGATGTTGCTAGGCAAAGCTCTGAACTGTAAATTACTGTAAGTCGGTACTGCTTGATTACAGAGGAACAATGTCGGTGAGGTTTATCTCCACCATCTCCCCCTTTTATGATTTGAATAAAACATGAATTAAGTTTCTATTTTTGCATAATATATTCTGTAGATTCTTGTATGTTATGTATAACTAAGTCTTCCTGAACCCCTCCCAAGGATCATTAAATCTTCATAAACAGTAAATCTACATAATGCCTCAGCAGTTGGGTTACACTGTACAGTATGTGCACATTATAGGGTTGCTAAAAGCAGGAAGTATAGGCAGAACAGAGGTGCCTTTACCATGCATTCAAGCTGTATCCAGCGCCTCAAGGTCAGCTGTATATACCCATTATTTACAGAACATCTCACACGTAACATTGAAAAAACACTAATTTATGACTGTGTCACTAGAACAAAAACACACACAGTAAAGGAAAAACAGAGGGAGAAAAATAGCTGAGTATCAGTTTTTCATGGTTGTCAGCTCTGGGATTAATGGAAGCCATTTCGCCATAATGAGCTGTTAAGCGTTAGCTGCCAAAAAAAACTCTTAGTTTGCCTTTGAGTCTCAGAATACTTTGTCCAATTAGAATATCTCTCCCCTTCCTGTGTCTGTAAGCTCTGCTGTACCTGCGTGACGGCTGTCAGATTCCAGCTCTTGTTAGACAACACAATCAGCACCAGAAACAATTATCTGGGGATAAGGTTAATAATGATATCATACTGTTTGTGATAAAAGTGTACCTGTTTTGTCACTACTATGCTCCCAGCGACTGGTTTAATGGAAGCCATTATGTGCTGTGTGTCATATTTGTCTCAAACATTAGAAGCAATAACAAGTTTGAACAAACAAGTGAGTTTTTTTTATGGCCATCTCAGGGATTTTCTGTTACTGTCCATATGTACGCTGTGTAAAGCTGTTTTCAAAAGGTTGGAGTAAGTTCTCAGTAACCAAACATTCAGAGAATGCAGGCCATTTATAAATATTATACTACCATTCATACTGCTATGATTATGTCCCCTTGTCAAGGCCTGCTGATGTTATTTATGCTTCTATTTATTGCGATATAATTATAATACATTTCTAAAGGGTTATAACATTTAGGAGACTCATTTATGAAGTCAGAACATTAGTTAATGAATAAATGATACTGTGGCTAGGACCAAAACCAAGTGGTACATCATTTAAATACACAGGCTGGGTTATATAATTACAGAACGTTGTCTCGCCTCTCATGTGCTGTACATGTGTTTAAATGAAAACAGCTTTGTAACTGTTAAATGACATAAGGCTTGTAAAACAGCTCCACAGTGTCAGATTAAGATTCAGGCTAGAAAATGAACATTGTCATGGCGCTGACAAGGCTCAGGAATACATTCTTCCACTCTTGAGAACAATCTGTTTGTCTGGTTAAATGGGGCAATTCAGCGGCAAGAAAAAGGATGACTCATGGCTTCAATTAGCAGCCTCTGCGAATGGATCCCTGTCAGGAGAAGTGAAGAAGATGTATCTAAACTCCAGACCTGACAAGGTAATGAAAATAAATGCATCTTCATAAACCTCAGTGAGTTTGAATCATTCCTCCATCCGGATCAAAGCTGCTGCTGTGGGACTTAAAACTACTTCAAATCCTGGCCATAAGCTTTATATAAAAGGCAGGGTTTGTGATTCATGGTGTTTGTTATTATTAAGAATGGCAACATGCTAACATACACTTGTGGTGCAGCAACTCTGTAGATTCCCAACAGCTCATCATCTCTGTTTACAATAAACACAATTAAACATACCGTACTGATCCACTACGGGAACAAAAACGTGTGCAACATTAACCTTCCTACAAATGCCCTGTGTTTTGCAGTCATTGAGGAATTTAAATATGGAGAAAGTATTCTTGAAAAAAAGGAAGAAAAAGCATTTGTTTGGCACTGCTAAGGGTGATAAATGGAATTCAGTCTCCAGGACAAACGGTGAGTACAGACAACTGTTGGATCATCTGTTTTTGTCGAGTGGTGTGAAGTTGCCACAGTTTCCTGCACACTGTACTGAAGCATCCTCGACACGGTGCCAAAGTGTGTGTGTGTGTGTGAGAGATAACGTACTAGTGTGAAGATTTGTGTACTGTTGTGTTAAACCTCTAAATGTGTGTGGATACTGTACAGCGGATGATTTTTCTGTGAGATTGAGTTTTTCCTACCAGCATAGGGGACCGGGGCATCCTTGTCTAGAGCGACCAGCGGGGGGTCCAGCAGCACCGTGTCCATGTTCTCCGTGATCACGCCATGGTACGATGTTTCTATCCACGGCTTGTGCTTGTTGACTGTGGGAGAGGAAGAAACATACATTTCAGTTCACAGCATTATTAGAAGAACTGTTTCAATAGAGGCTTCGTTCGTAACTGTATGTGCTCAGTCACTTTAAGCGATCTGAGAATGACGAACAAAAAGACACAGAATATAATCAAAAAAAGTGTTTGTGATTGATTTTTTAAGGTTTCAACAGACGACAGGAGGACTCCAAAGTTTGGGGAATCTAATTATAGAAGCCTGTAAATAGCCTTACATCTATGATTGTAGTGCTTTATTTTCTCTAGAGTGCTTTTTTAGAGAACACAAACAAAACAATTCTGAAATGTTCAGAAAGAAATGTGAATTAAAATCCTTCAGCAATAAATACATTGTATAGACTGTATTCAGTCTAATACCTCTCTGTTGGCCTCGGGTGCATAAAGACAGCAGTCTCCTCTCTAATGGCTACACTGCCTGTTGTGCTCGTCACAGACTAGGACTCAACAAGGTCTTTGCAGCAAAGCATTAAAACTTCTAATACCTTGATCTAGTTTGGAAAACAGCAGCAGGCAAGGAAATCATAAAAATCCTTAAAACACAATTATTCTTGGTGAGAAATTTGAGCTGTGAGATTAATCCAATACTTAAAGAAACCAAATCAAACTCTGTGTTGAGCTTAGGGAGGAAGATGTATGTAAAAAGTCAATCATCCTTTTTCCGCAGTGCATTCTTTTTCTCACTAGTGCTACAACGTGGAGAATCCAACCAGCATGAGATTGAAAGGTCAGGAGGATGAGCTGGAGATTAACACAGATCACCATCAGTTTGTCACACTGTGAATACAACTTCCTAACACTTCTTTTTTTCTCACAGAAGGGCCTTCAAATACATAGAAAGCCTTGTACAGGCAGCAAGAATGGTACACACACACACACACACACACACACACACACACATCCCTAGCGTAGAGAAGTCACTCTCTGCAGGGACCTGGGATGTCAACTTGACCTTTCGATCCACTGAAGAGGAACGCTTTGTCTCATGCCATGAGCAGATGACATGTCTAGCTGGCAGAGATTTAAAATGCAAACTGTTCCTCAAACCTCCACAGCTTTCCATCTGTTTGGACACATTTCAGCTGTTTTCTCCTACTATTTCATGTTCTCCCCGCCGCGTGTCACCATGCTGAGTTGAGAAAGCAGGTCAAAGTGAAATAAATAAATAGTAAACTTGTTTCCAAAAAGAAAAACACGTTTTGTAAAGGAATGAGAAAACGTTGTGAATGAAATAAATTACATACACTTGGGACATTGTGTTGGCTGGAAATAAGCCCATTTTCATTGGTTTTACTACAAAAAAGGATGATGTGCAATATACTAACAATTTACACTTCTGCTCTCTGCCTGCTGAGACAAAGTAGATTTCAGAGAGGGAGAGGGAGCCACAAGGGAAGACATTATTCATACTGGGAGTCTCATCTCGTGCTCATGCAGGAAACAGAAAGCACTGCAGCAGGATCTGCTCTGAGAGGGGAACAGACGTTTGTCTTTGAGCTGCTGTTTATGCATCTTCACACCTGGAGTATTTAATTCGTAACGGAGGAAAGGCAGTGCATTAAACACACTAATACTCACTTTTCTGGTGAATTGTAGCTACACCTTCATTATTATACAGTTATTGCAGCTTTTCTTTGGATTTACTCTTCTGTGTTGGTAAGAATTTCCACTCAAAATCAGACGTGAAATGAACTGAAACAATCTCATAAAGAGACTCTTCAAAACCAACACCATATTAGACTGCAGCGCTGAGGTGACTATAAAATAGGCTATAAAATGGAGATTATTTAACTGAGTCTTCATTTTTCTGTGCCTGCACTTGCCAGAGTAAATGTATTAGTACATCATGTTCACATAGCGTTTCATTTACATTTAAAGATGTCTTCAGTAAGCCTAATGGCAGCCAACAGCTAGTGCAGTTTACTCATGGATGGCAGGTTCAATTTCTGGCTCAAGGTCTTACATTTATCCCAAACAAATAGGGTGCAAGGCTGTGACTGTTTAAAGGGAGTCTAATATGAGAGCTATTTTGTAGAAAGACCACACATCAGACCGTGGAAATGGGCTATTTACAAAATGGCTTTCAAGACATGAAGTACTGTAAAGGCCGCTACACACCAACCTGAGACCAAAGAACGCGTACCCAAGGTGTCCCGACTTTTACGTCCGCTACGTCGCCTACGCCGCCCGCCTACGAACACACCCCAAAGACTTCAGTCGACGAGTGGCAATTAACTGTCCTTACCATCAGGCAGCGGTAGTGTGTATTCGTCATTCAAAAGAGGCAACAGCCAATCAGAGTGATTTCTTTGACCGACTTTCTGTTGAATCGGCCGCGGGAGGTGTGAAAATGTGCCGTAAAGCAACGACGGTGCGGGACCATGTGCGGGACAAACCAACCTGAGTAGGGCGCCGCTAATGCCCGACTGCCTCTGAATGCCTCTGACTTGTACTGAGCCAAAGCAATCAAATGAAAATAGAGGTAAGCGTGAATTTATAGAGAAAAAAACTTGAAATATACCATGAAGCAGAGACTACAGCAATTGTATCGACTCAGACAAAATGCTAACATACTCCAAATGTTAATGTTTGGCTGGCATACGGTTAGCCATGTTTACAGTCTTCGATTGTGCTAGCATGTTAACATTTGCTATTAGGCGCTGAAAAAAAACCCAGCAGTGGCTGTATGTTTTTTTGTGTCTCAAACCAAAATGCTGGACGGTTGAAGGCATTGTGAAGATGCTGGAGGTACAGCCAGAACATCATTAAGTTATCACCATGTGGTCTACCAAATTCCATAGCAACCCATACAATATTAATGAGATATTTCATAAAAGCACAGACATGTTAGTGGTTCTAGAGGAAAGTAAGTCATTAGGATTCATCCTCTGGGGACCATGACTATTTGTACAAAATGTAATTGCTATCCCGGCAGTTTTTAAGATTTTCAGGTCCAAACAACAAACATCCATCCAGAGCCATGCTGCAAAGCTAATAAAAAAACTTGTTCTACCATGTGGTTCCTCCTTAGTGTCATCGACTGCAATTTGCAAGGCCTCTGAGGCCATTTCCTGGGAACATCTGCAGCCATTACGGCGTCAGGATGCACATTATGGAGGAATAATTCACTTAGCAGAAGACACAGTCTAATAGACGCTCTATAGGACTGGATACAATCTGATATGACAGTAATGTGGACACAGAAATCCAGAAGCAAGATTTGCCTTCCTGTAAATAACATTAATGCAGGGGATTGGCAACTTGTCCATTCTGATGTTAAAATCAATATATCCATTTGTGACTTTCCCTGGGACTGAGGCTCATGAAATCATATTACTGTAGGGACACAGGCGGCTGATCATCTATATTTAATTTGGGTCCCAGCTCATATTCAAAGAGACATGGCATTACTGTGCTATGTATGGACCAATTGAATTCATGTCAAATCCATTTATTTGTATTATGTATTTGATTATAATGATGTTGCAGTGGACTAGATATAATCCTCTCACAGACTACACGTAAAAAAAACATTATATATAACTGGAAGACGTTGCAGAAGGGAAAGACAAAGTGGAAAACTAAATACATTAAGACATCACATCAAATAAAGCAAAAACAGATAACTCTCCCCTCCCCCTAATAGCGTTATTGTTAGTGCAGCTGACAGGTCGCTTTCTGATTTCCTCAGAGTTGCCACCAACACAGGACACAGTACACTGCATTTGTTTCAAACTAACTGTGCAATGGAGATGTTGATAACATATTTTCTGTCCGTTTACTTGTTTATATACTGATAGCAACATACTGCTAGCAGCCTGTCTACAATCAAAAGTAAGAAAGAACCAAAAGGACATGCAATATGAACAAGAAACCACAATTTGAGTGCTTTAAAAACTCAAAATAAAGGCCCTGGTAGTTTTAATAAATCGGCAGGTTTTGTTATTCACTTATCCAGCTTAGTGGAAAGAAAAATGTCCATAACTGTTGTCTTTGCATTCTTTGCCACCTCCATCAACCAGGCTCTTTTTCTGATACCTGTGGAAAGCTACCGTAAGCTATTTTGTTTCTTGTTAAGAGATTTGTTGAGCTGCCTATAAGCATATGCCCTTTAATAGGCAGTAATGCAGTGTATAGGCTACATCTAACTATTTTGGTAAGTGTTGGGAAAATACTGAATGTACTGTTCTACCCAAGATTTGTACTGCACAAGGGACTGACATTGAGAGGTTCACTACTTACAAATATCTGGGATTTCTTATTGAACAGAAATTGTCTTTCAAGTTACATACGGAAAATGTTCTTTCAAAGCTAAAAATAAAATTAGGTTTCTTTTACAGAAATAAATCCTGTCTCATAAGCATGTCAAGGACACTATTCGGGGAACTATTTGTGTTGTCTGAGCAAGTGCAAATCTATTATGACCTCCCAGTGCCCTGCTGGAATGAGCAGTAATTAAACCTGGGTGAGCTCTCACACACACACACACACACACACCTAATGAGATAAGATACTGTGCTCTGCTGTGATGTGTGACTTGTTGAGCTGAGAATGTGTGACTGTGGACCAGTAAGCCACCATTACAAAAAGTATATCATAAAGATGTTTTAGGAGAATGCAGAAAGAGAAGAAGGGAAATGTAAATGATCATGATGTAAGTGAACAAAATATGCGAGGGCGAAAGGGTTAACGTGTTACAGAGAGGAAGAGAAGATGAGAAGCAGCCATACTGGAGGCAATGGGATGAGTAGGGAGAAATAAAAGGGAGGAGAGTCAGGGAGAAAATGGAGCAAATTAGTGTAGAAGAAGGTTGAAGGCATAAATAGCACTTCCTGTATGGAGAATAAGTGCTGCCTATAGGACAAACCTTCAATTTATACTCCTATTATACATTTAAATTGAATTCATATTGTATACATTACATGCCTGAGATCATACATCATCAAATAATAGCACGTACTGCATAATCATGGAAG